GGGGGGGGGGGGGGGGGGAAGAGGTGCAGTCTTAGAACCAGAAATCCCGCCCTGTCACATGGTCCATGTCATAAAAAGGCCCACCTACCTGATACTAAACCTTGCCCTTTTGTAAAACAAGTTAAATCAATGTGAAAATGTAGTTGTAATGACCTTTTTAAAAGCTGTCACTTGTCTAATGTCAGCTATATGTTATATGAAACAAATCCACTATTTTTATACAACTTATTAGAAGTCTATTTCCACAAAAAATAAGGATATAAACTGTATTTCTTCCCAAGGAGGAAAAAATTATTATATTAACATCACCACCTATAGTCCTGGTTCAGCAAATATTCAGGTCTATGTATCCATATCCATTTTGAAAAAAGATATTTAATAAACACATAAGCATTTCTTTATATCCCACTGACTTCACTTGAACAAAACAGAACATTAATGTTATTATCTTTCAAAGTTATGATTTTGTCATCTGCATACAGCTCTAAATAAAGCTGGACAGTTAGGCATGCACCCCAAGTAAAATAGAAGTAAAATACTATACCATAATTTCAATCTAATAAATAACTCTTAATACTACCTTTAGAATCCTTTGCATATATAATTCATGTTCTTTTTGTTTATTCTCTTGCATGCTCTGCTTGATGCTGAGTATACATGTACTGTAGCTAAACCAGCAATCAATAAATACAAAGTAACATGGCCTAATGCTGAGCACTCTATGCTGACTTAGGAAGTAATTAGCATACTAAGGAAGGTTAAATGCAGGAACTAGGGAGCTGATGAGAAACTTCTGTGCAGGTCTGAAAAGGTCAAATACTAGGAACTGCTTTTGCAAGTACAACTTCTGAGGAAATCTCAGTATGTCGCACAAGGTGGAAATAATACTGAGTGCAGGCACCTAAGAGCATATGTAATTGTCACCAAATCAAATACTGTCTGCTTAAGAGGCTATTGGAGGAACTATATATGTGTTTACAGTTTCCCCAAAAAGGTGGCTGAATATCTAAGCTTTGAGCAGAGTCCTAGCCCCAATGTCTCTCCCCACCCCACCCAGCATCTATAGCATATGCTGATCTCTCTCCCTATGCCCTGCCCAACCTGACCCTGCAGCTACAGCATGCACCAATCTCTCTCACTCTCTCTCTTCTCCACCTGAACTGGCCCTGCAGGTACAGCACGTTCGAATCCACAGTGTCCCAGCCCCATCCACTGCTTACACCAGTTCCCGTGCCAGAAGCAGTGCCAGGCAGGTGCCAGCATCAGCTGTGGCTGCTGCTGGCAAGTTCCCAGCGAGGATTGAGGCAACTGCACTGATGCATCAGCTGCAGACTCGGACAGATGCCCGAAACCTGCCCACCATGCCGGCTCCACACTGCTTCTGGCAAGCGGGGCAGGAGCTGGTGTAAGCTACAGACGAGGCCGGGATGCACGACCTAACAGCTGGAGCCATTGGCTCCCCTCGAGCTGCATTACGTGACTTTGTGGCTGCCCACTGACAGGCCGGATCCAGTGCACGGGGTTTATTTTGCCCACCCCTGGCTTAGTCTCTCACCATAGCAATGCACTGAACAGCAGTGTTAGTATCAAATATACCTGTCTTTCTTTCGTCAAGAGTGCTTCCTTTTCTGCCTCTAATTGTTCCTTAAGGACATGATCTGTATTGCCTTCTGTGGGTACTCTGTGCCTGGCTTCATCCAACTTAGACTGTAGGGCGGAGATCTGGATCAAGTTGTTGTATTGCTGTTGTTGCAATGCCTCTTTATCCTGCAAAAGTTAAATTTTAGTGCAAGAATTAGTATAAATTAATAAACCTAGAGAGAGCAATCTAATAAAAAATTAAATGAATAAGTATGTAACCAAAACGTGGTTTAAAATATGAATCCAAAAGTGCAACCAAAAAAGATAAAGATGTAAAATTTACAACCCATGTTAAGTCTGCCTTGAAAATGTAGTTCTCAGTCAAATAATATTTCCTACAGTACCAGACAACTTGATTTTTTGATTACCCTTACATTTTATTTTTTACAGCCACCGTTTTATAAACACTCCAGTTCCTTATTTATTATGAGTAGTACTTGTTTGGAAAAATAACATGGCTTTAAAAGAAGGAGATTGCTTCCCAAGTATAACTGAAATTGACGTCAGGCTATGGAAAAACAAAATAAATTGAACTTTAAACAATTGCATTTTTTCTTTAAATCAGTAACTGAGCCAGCATTACAACCAAACCCTATTAAAAGATATCAGATTATTTTTGCTAGATCAGTGGTGTTGTCAAGCTACAAGCTATTTTTTTCTTGGCATTTTTATTTTAGCCCTAATCTGATTTTCTCTCTCCCTCATTCTTCTTGGGTAAAAGTATTCTCAGCAGGGAGCAGAGGCACAAGGGATAAACCAGCACCTAAGAGGTCTCACCAAAAGGTGAACTAGATATTTGTAATTGCTATGCTGGGAGCACAACTGGGAGGCAACTTAAAATTTAAATCCCCTCTGAGGTCAGCCAGCCCCTTTTTTTCTCTTGCACACCTAGTCTATTAATTGCTCAGTACACTGAAGTCTAACAAAGAAGGGGTATATTTGTTTCTTTATATAATTTGGAAAAAAGAAAAGATGTTTCACCTCCCACTAAATGGTTTTAATAATAACAACAAACTGAAAATAGAGTATTCAGATTTTACCAAGGAACAAATCCAGATTAAAAAATAATATATACAAAGTTGTTAAATTAAATTTACTTTACAATATAAGGCAGTATTGTCACAGATTGACCAAGACAAAAGCCAGGTACTTAAGGTGAGTTAGTAATGTCTAGTTTTAAAAAGCTAAATTCTTAGCAGCTGCCATTGGCCAGGCTTGAACACCAGACCAAAAAGAGTATTCTATACGTGAAGGAGGCTTAAGGGAAAAATGAAGGCAGAAGACAGGCAATCAAGGAGGACATCAAGATGGTCTCCCCCACAGCTGACATCGTTGATAGGATAGTGGAAGTGAACTTAATATGAAAGACACTTTCCCAACTAATACCACAATATCCCATGGGAAACTGCCAGGGGTGGGAGAACTTAACGCAATAATATGTGCTTCTCTCCCAGGTAAAACCCAAGATTTTTCAACACATTTTATAGGATTCATAATGCAGGGTGCTAACCTGTCCCTCAGGTCCCCTGATAAAACACTGAATACAAACAGAGAACAATTATACCTTAATATTAGCGATTCCTATTTTCTAGGGTACATATACAAAGTCTAAAAAATGATTAGCACCAGTTTGAAGTTCATCTTGTTGCTGATAAAAAGCCTCCCAATGACAATATGCAACAGTTTTCTTCGAATAATGAACTGTAGGGCTAAAAAGTTCTTCCTACTCATTAGATAACAAGGTTACTATAGTGTCTTAGTCTGTCGTGTCATCATGGTTCTACATTTAAAATGAAGGTTTCACATAAACATTCTATTGTTGTCATGGTGATCTAGTTAAAATATGATTTCAAGGGTAACAAATAGCTCATACAAATGCTGTACTGTGAATAAAGCTATTTTAGGTGCTCATATAGGTGTAATGAAACAAGTGTTCCAGGTTCCCTAAACAAACCCTCCTTTGGCACCCCCAAAAACATGAAAAAGATTGATCCAGAGGGAACTTCTGCAGCACAACAATAACTGAAGCAGCAATTTACAGATCACCAACTTGAACAAATTAAAAGGATTGGCCCAAAATAAGATTGGCACCAAGAGAGTTTTCTTTTGTGTACCTGACGGTGAAAATTGTGGTTTGCACTTGAGTGGCTAGAAGTGTAGTTCTAGTCCCATGTTCTCCATATAAAGGACACGGTTCTCATATTCAAATGTGACTTTCTATATTCATTTTTCATATGGGCTACTCTCCAAATTCTGCAATGTGTATAATATCTTAATTTAACATCTTAAATAAATCTTAATTTAAAAGGACATTTTGGGCCATCTACAATTCCAAAGTGTGTTCCAGTAAATTGGTCACTACAACATGAACCAGACCAGTGAAAAAAGTTCAGTGGGTCAAAAATGAAACCTGTTTAATGAAAAACCAGTATTTGAGAACTTTTCATTCCTAACAGGAAGATCCCAGAACAGATCCTTAGTGGCATTACCAAGGCACCTTTTAGTCATAACTACCTGGACCTAAATTTTGGTGGCATGGCCACTTCATTTCTATATCCGTCTTTGTAGGCCAGGTTGGACAATGTATATATATCAGGTACAAGATGAAATTAAAGAAAGGAGTTTATTTTTTTCTACCAAGTGAAATAAAAAAATGGATGCAATTGTTTTCTACCTATTTTAATAGAATTTAAAACCTGAATGTTAAAATCAATTGAGTTTTTGCTACTCCTAAATCTTCTATTTTGAATTTGCCACATATTTATTTACAATATGTAAATTTTACTGAAGAGAGTTGTCAATGGTTAGCTGATGCTGGGACTTTAGCCTAGGACAGTGATTCTCAACTACGGTAAAGCAGCACCTGCTCAGGGATGCTGTGATGCAGTTTCTGCTACCACTGTAGCAGCCAGGTAAGATTGCCCTGTGCACACTTCTGCTTCATTAGGACTCTGTGATTAGCCTAATTCAGGCAGGAGCTGCCTGTTTTATCATCTGGAGGCACGAATACCTGGTTAAGGAGCACTGAGGTAAAGTTGAGGCAGCACCAACAGTGGTCCTCAATCAGGGCTGCCATCACATTCAAAGAGCAGGGGAAGGCTGTCCTGACTCTAAAAAGGAATATGATGGAGGCAATTTTTTATTCTTGTGCAATTATCTTACAGGTCCCTTCCAGTTCTACAATTTTATGATTCTATGAATAAGGTACACACTTTAGTTGATGATCCACAAAATAAGACCAAATCAGTGCACAAGAAGTGTGCGCTGTTGCTGGCTTTGCAGACTTAACAGGAGTACAGAGCAGTAATACCAAACCTAAGATAACCAGACAACTTAAAAAAAAATACATACAGCATGAAGACCAGGTAATTAAGGTTCCTTTTTACACAGGCAGTTTTCAAAATAAAACCACATTTAACATTCAGTAGCACCTTCACAATTCTTTATAAGAAGAAAAGGTGACCCAACCATCCATTACACATTCCCTTACTGCCAAAAGTGTTCTTGATAAAAAGCAACCTTTTCAGTACTTAAGGAAAAAATCTGCTCAAACCTATCAATGTAAAGATGCCATTACATTTAACAGGTTCATTGACCACTTGATGGAACAGACATTAGAAGTCATCCTTTTTGGCTCACTGAGGGATATATATGAAGATTAGTCATAGATTCATAGATTGTAAGGCTGGAAGGGACCTCTTCCAAGTCAATTATATAATCCTCGTTAATTATATAATCCTTATCTCATCCTCTATTATCTAAAAATTACTTGTTTTAGTTCAGTTTCCATTTTCTTCATTCTTTGCAGTTCTTGCTCCAAACAGCAGACAGTTTTTGAGACTTCGATATTGGTATGCTCCATCTCTCTAATCCGTTCTGCCATCTTCTCCATTTCTTTATCTCGAACTGTAACTTCTTGATGTTTCTGCTCTTTTTCTAGCAGCAGCTTATTGTAATCATCCACTTTCTCTTTTATTTCAGATTGTAAAGATTCTACCTACACAGCACACATGAAACAGACATTTTAAAAAAACACAACATTTCTACATTAAAAGGAAAAAAAGTCATTTTGTCACTAATTTACAAAAAATAAATTGATGGCACTCCCCCCTTGAGGTCAGATGAGCCACCATTGTTGATAAGATATCAGTTAAAAGCAAAACAGTATGGGGGACAGAGTAAAATCAACTATCTGTAAATCTTATGCTCAAAATATAATAGTTCTTACAAAGTCACACATGTATATTACATATTCTCACATGCTCAATATTTATTACAGTCTAGCATGCTGTTAAGAGAAAATTTACCCTAAAGGGCATCACAACGCAATGGCCATAAACCATCTTGAGATTATATATTTTATTATTTATACTATTGCTAGATGTTTTTCAAACACTTCCAGACAGTACATGCTTCAAGGAATTCACAGTATAAACAGAAAGGTCAAGAGAAGTGGAAATGGCAATTTAGATTAAATTAGGATATGCAAATTAATTAAATTCACCATAGGCAGCATAGAGAGGCACTTAAAATGTAGATAAAGTAGGGCCCTGTACATAAGATCAGGGAGATCTTATTCACGTGGAGCTATACGGAACAACGCACTGAGATGAACAACTGAAAGCTTGTAAAGAGAGATGTTATGCAGAATTTCAGAGGTAGGATCAGATGGAAAGACAGTAGATTTAAAAGGGGGGGACTACTTGAACAAACTCTTTATAAAACAAACAGTATGGTTTCAAAGAAAAAGGAAACAAGAGTGTATAAAAATACCATGTAACCAGGACTCATGGTAGAGGTGATATCTTTTATTAGACCAACTAGATTTTAGCCAAAAAAAAATCTTTAATTGCAAGCTTTCGGGCACAAACACCCTTCATCAGGCATCAGAGAAAAGATTGTAAAAGTTCATTGTAAAAGTTCTCCTGGGTAGAAATGAAAGTTCATATTTCAGAGAAGGGTTGAAGCTGTGGTAAAACCTGTTTGGAAAAGTTGATTTTATGTGCAGATTAGGTGCAGAGAAAAGTTGGAATAGTCTGTTCACCTCCAAGTTGTTTGGTGGTAAGCAGGATGTATTCATATTTCCTTCTGGTTAGGGTGTTTCATATTTCACAGAGGAATAAGTAGATGGGATGCTCTTCTGGGCAGGCATTTCTTATCTGTCACCTCACCAGACAAGAAATGCCCACCCAGAAGAGCATTCCATCTATTTACTTCTCTGTGAAATATGAAATACCATAACCAGAAGGAAATATGAATACATCCTGATTACCACCAAACAACTTGGAGGTAAACAAACTATTCTCACTTTTCTCTGTGCCTAATCTGCACATAAAATCAACTTTTCCAAACAGGAGGTTTTAAACACAGCTTCAGCTCTTCTATGAAATATGAACTTTCATTTCTACCCAGGAGAACTTTTACAATCTTTTCTCTGATGCCTGATGAAGGGTGTTTGTGCCCAAAAGCTTGCAATTAAAGATGTTTTTGGCAAAAATCTAGTTGGTCTAATAAAAGAAATCACCTCTACCATGAGTCCCGATTGCTTTTTCCTCTAGACCAATATGGCTACAACCTGGATACCTGACACTAAATACAACATGGGCATGGACAAATGTACATCTGGACAAGGCTGCAGGAGCATGCAGCAGCTATTATGTTCCAGTTGTGTGTGCACAAGCTATAAACAAAGCAAAACTGTTCCAACTTTAACCTGTGATGAAGCAGGGCTCTGCATGCCCCAGTGAAACAGCCCCTTTTGAAACCACTCCAACTGTATGCTTGTTCATGCCCATCAAAACGTGTACCACTTGCACAGCACTTTCAACATATTGTACAAATAACAGAGTAGAAAACTACTGTCCAAGAAACTTCAGTAGAACAGCATTAATATAAACAAGAGATGTTGAGAGTAGAGGTTCTATGGGTCATTTAAAAATACAAAAACTGCTAGGTTACACTATGAACTGCGTAAGGGCCCAAATAAAGTTCCTCAATTTTTATTCATCTTCCTCCTTTCCAATCCCATCAAGCTTTTACCCACAGACCAACCAAAACACCTGTTTTAAGCTTACAGAAATACCTCTGGACAAGAACAACCCCCAAACAGAACCCTATCTGAAAGTGACAGTATTCTTCTCATGGCTGGTTTTGTAGTAAGAATTTGGTAAATTAACCAAGGAATTTTCACCAATACAAAAGAGGTTAGGTACAGCTCTTTTGCTAAATTAGATCATTCTTATAGTAAAAATTTCTTTCTAATGCAACCATCCAGTACCCCTGATGTTATAAAACAGCTATACACAAAGGAATATGTTCCTCAACTTTCACCCCATGCTCCAAACTTTCAAATGTCATTCCATCCATCAACCATCAGAGTTCTTTTTTCATAAAATAGCCCCACCACATATTCCCCAATTCTAGAGAGTGAGAAACTGGATAAAACTGGATTTTAAACTGTTTATGTTCAGAATCAATAATTTTTGGATCACAGGACTATCTCAGCAAATTCACTGTGTGCAAGTACTATATTGGGAGTGATTCACAACAGTGTATTTATTTTTAAGCAATTACACAGGAAAAATGTAAGTGCTTGCACCTGGATTTAATATTGATCACACACACACTAACAGCTTAAATTTCTTACCCGCCTCCATGCCTTACTTCTTAAGAAGTCCTACTAATACAATGCAGGTACAGTTTTAGATAGGTTGCAAATGGTCAGATCAATACATATAATTTTTAAAATTTCTGTACTTACCTAACACAAACTCTGCTGTTCTATTAGGAGGCAAAAACTCAAGCTAACAACTTAGACAGTAAACAAAGATATTTTCAAGCTCTTTCTGCAATACCCTCAGTAATCCTATGCTTACAATACAGATCCTTTTTTTTATACCCAGGATTCAATGTAACCATCAAACCAGAAGCATCTCTCTCTAGCGGACAGCAACACAACCTGCATAAACCATCCTAACTAAAAGTGCAACTTTCTATAAAGTGGAACCTTAAAGCAGCATAACTTAAGATGAACATGCTGTCATCACTTCAAAACTTTCTACTGCTCTGGGCTGCAATAGAGTTAACAATTAGCTCAGAAATAGAGTGATATATTTAGAAAATGTCAGCAGTGTATGTTGGTATCATCTTTAGAGTAACTGTGCTCAAGTAAAGGTAGAATGAGACATCTAGACAGAACAGGATAAACAGGATATAAAGCTCTGTTAGACTGTAGCAGTTGTGTACATACAGAACAGGTAACGAGAAGGCCACACTGAAAACCCAAAGAAGGAAAATCACAAAGGTATGATTCTATGCTGGTTATTTCACAGCTACAACTTTTTTTTCACTTCATGGTACATATGAAAAAAGTTTCACAAAAGCAAATACATGAGAATGCATTTGATTAATAAGCCAGGACAATAAAGTGATTACAAACAGGAAAATAAATATATGGTATTTTTCCAGAGCAAAAGATCTAAAAGGATAACATATAACCTATATTTAGTTACACTGAAGCAAACTTAACATAGAAAGATTAAAAAAGCAAAAGCAGAAGGAACTGAGAGGCAAGGGAGGAAGAGCTGAGGGATGTTCATGCTATTTTCCATACCTGTAGAGACAATTCATAGCTCTGAAATGGTTCATTTATGTGAGAAAGAAACAAAAAACAAAAATTAAACTTTTAAACTGAATATTGAACTAATGAACATGTGAAAAAGGACAGATGCAATCACTTTAAATGATAGTATCCTAGTCACTCTCTAATCGAGGCAAACCCCAATATCCCGGCAAGGTTTTACTGAAATGCACATATTTAATTATATAATTTCAGGAAATCTTGCTAAGAAAAATCATAATTAGACATGCACCTTGTGCACTACAAAAAAATGCATGGCAACCAGTTAAAAGAAAAAGTTGTTGAATTTGATGCTCTGCATTTCCTAAAGTATTCGAGTAGTATATAATACACAAATGTGATATTAAGTTGAAAAAGCAGCCTCTGAAGAAATCATTTTTCAGTATCATGCAGGTTTACTTTTGATATTTATATAAAAAAAAAAAATACTAAAACAGATAAGTCACTAAATATGGTTTTACTCACCCCATGTTCCCTGGGCTCTACAGACATCTGCAATTTTGCTGCCAGTTTTAACTGCTCCTCTAGTTTCTGAATTTCTTGCTGAAACTCATCACGTTCATGTTCTCTCTCTATAGCTTGTTCCTGTCAACACAATAAGAAATATTTTCCTTTGTTTTTGTGGGAAGAAAGCTGATGTTTGTGTTTTCCTTTTACCAAATTTTCAATGGCACTCCTAGAAACATGGCAAGAATTTACAGGAAGGGACAAGAGAATATTTTAATTTATATAACTACTTAACAGGAAACATTTAGAAAGAAAAAAAGAAACTCTTACCCATAACTTTAACTTAAAGGAATTTACAAGAATCACCCTCAGTTTTACATGACCAAACACAGATTTTTTGATAAAACCAAAAGGGTGCTAGTTTGGGCCCATCTTGGAAGTTTTGACCACAAAACATGAAGGAGAAGCTGAATCTTGAACTTGCTTACATCCATGAATTGTCGTTGATTCTTAAGCTGTTTCTCAAGAACCTGAATTTGCTGCTTTAGATCCACAACCTCCAATAACTTCTTTTCTAGCTCCTGATTATGATTCATCTGTTCTTCAAGTTCCACTTCTAAAACCCTCATTTGAGAGCGTAAGCTGGAATAGTCCTTCTCTGCCTGGCACTGCAGTTCTACCTTCTCTTTCGCTAAAAATTCCACTTCCTTAAGTAAACCTACACACACGTAAGAAAGAGAGAAAAAGACAGACAGTCAGTCAATCCTGAAACATGCGATTCAAATGCTGTCTTCAAAAAAAAGATTACTTGCTTTGTTTAATTTTGTTTTCAAAACTACTGCAACATAAGTCAGCATATAAGGAGATATTTACAATGGCACAGAAGGGGAGTTGAACATCCAATTCCCCGCTGTGCTTTTGAAAATTTCCCTTATAAAGCGCAAAATATACACATAAGCAATATAAACATTGGCCAGGGTAGTTAAGTCAAAGCTCATGTCTGGTTGATTAACAAGAACCAGGTTGTACAAACAAATTAACTTTCAACAGACAGAAAGTCTAAAAGAAGCATCAAAACTGAGAGCCCAACCTATATATTTCCCAAAAAAAGTGTTTGATTTTAACATCTTTATTAGTACAAACATCATACAGATGAAAAACAGGATGTTTCTATATATTTAAGAAGAGTCCTGAAAGAACTCTTATTATTCTGCTTTCTAGATATTCATTAGGAATCTTCCATCATAAAAAACCCATCTTTTTACATGCCAACATCTAGATCTAGAAACACCTTGAAGAAGAAGAGATTAGTAGAAACAAAATTCTGTAGACCCATTAAATTATGTAAGATGTATGAAGTGCACAGTAGAATTTTTAACTTATTGTATAAAAGTTTCGGGCACCAAGTGACAAAATTGGTACTCCTTAAGGAAAAGTTTTTTTTAAAAATTGTGAGCTTTTCCCTTTCAAATCTTGAGTGCTACCACTGAACAAATTACATAATTTAATTTATGATTAGGTGACTTCTTTTAGATCCAAAATGAGTTTTCCTGGCACTTATAGTACAAAAAAATTGATTAAAATGAAAGTTTACCAACACTTCTCATTCAAAGAAGTTACGTTACGGAATCCATTTAGGTCAAGGGTTTTCAACCTGTTTTTAATTAGTATACCCCTTCTGGTGTTGGCAGGGGAAGGGAGGGGCGCCACTTGCACGCAGCAGCCGCCGCCACCACCCACCACCCTGTGCTGCCACACACCACTTTTCCATGGCCGGTGGCACAAGCAACTTCGTGGCTGCTGACAGGCCTTACACCCGGCCAATCACGCGTCGCTCTTCGGCAACCCATGAAGCCACATGTCCAACCAGCCATGGAAAAGCGGCATGCAGCAGCAATGTGGGGTGGTGGGTGGCCACCTGTGAGCACCCTTGCCCCACATCCATCTGCAGAGGGGTGCCTCTTCACCATCGGCTTTTGGCTGAGGGTGGTGGCCAATCAGAAGAATAAGCTGCGGTGGGGAGCAGGAAGGCGCTGCAGTGTGCTGCATGGGGCTGGCAGCACCTGGCGTGCCCCTCCCCTCCCCCGAGTAAGAGGCAATGTACAGGAACACACTGTGGAGATACCGCCGGCACCACACCCAGGGTGCACTCCATCCCCACCCACCCACGCATACCCCCAAAGAGCTTTCCAAGTACCCCTAGGGGTACACATACCCCCAGTTGACAACCCCTGATTTAGGTCAATATAGTTTATACGGAATGGGAAAATTATTGCCAAAACTTTTTATGTACTTCTGTACTGAAGGCAGTCCTAATAACAGAATTCTGCCTGGCCATTCTTTTGGTATTTTTCTTACTTTTATGCTATGTGTGCAATTCTCAAAATCTATTAATATAGATTTTCAAGTAACACCAATAGAACATCATATCATTTCTGTGAGTTGGTAAAGAACCAAACTGATATTTCATTAATGTTAACCCATGTCGTGTAACCCACTTCAGTAACTTAAGAAACACATTAGCAAAAGCTATTGCTGATTCCATTAGCAAAGCCATTCTACTGAAATTAATTTTGCACATCAGCATTAACAGACTTTCTTAGCTCATCCAAAATCTAAAACTAATCAACTCAAAAGCAGTATGATTTGTATAGATTGTGTCCTAAACACAAGAAACAGTAATGCCAAACAAGAGGAAAAGTACCATTGGGAAAAAAAAAGTTTCATTTGTTACATCAGGAAAAATAATGAGGCTTAAGAACAAAGGCCTACTGGGTCTAGTGACTGGACAAAAATGAGGAAGCAGTGTTTATAGGAGATCTTTATGAGACACGTGGGAACTGGACAACAGGATAAAAACAGCAACTGGCAAGGCAGACCAGCACAGCCCCTCATTACAACCTGGACTACCACCTGGTCACACACTCCCTCTTCACCCAACTGAAAAAAAACAAAGTTTAAGCAGCAGCTGACAAAATTTAACCATTGCTGCTCCTAATATTGTTTAGAGCCTCGGATATTTGATTTATACATATCAAATGATCCTTTACATTTCTTTTATGTTAACATTAGATTTTCCTTCCTCCCAGAATCCTAATCTCTCTTTCCCTCCATCTTTTTCAGCATTACCTTTCATATTCATTTTGCCTTCTTTATTACTTCCCCCCCATGTTTTCTTTCATAGCAAAAACGGTTCTTATAATTTTCTTCTCCATTCCCATGGTCTTTTTCCTATCCTACCAATCTCCTTGCTTCCACTTCCTGAAGGTCTTCCCTCTCTAATCTTAGAGCTGCCCCTAGTATTTTGTGTGTTCTGTTATTTTTTTTTTTTTACTATCATATGTCACCAAAACATCATAACACATTTATGAAACATTTTAATCTGTTCAAAAGGAAAATGAAGCTGAATTACCTAGATGAAACTGCATCATGAAATTTAAGATTAACAGCAGCATAATGGCTCAATTATTAAATACTGAATAACAAATTAAATATTCTTAACTGTTGGTTAGTGACTTGCATTGAAATGTGGAAGTGATGTCTTAAACATGCCAAAATTATTAACCCTAATATACTTCTAATGATTTACTGGGCATAATTCTGAAGCACTCTTCCTCTTGGTTAGACTGAATTCAAAATCATTTATCTAGGCCATGTTTTATCGTCAAAAACCATACACATCGTTACAAACCTGAATCATCCCTTTGCGCCAAATTACCAGGAACTCCTGTGATTCAAAATATGCAGATGTACAAATATAAGACAACACTTTTACCATTTCATCCTCCCAACCACAACTGAGATTAGAACAGAATACGGATAAACTTAGATATGTTACTGCCAATTAGATACTGACCACAAAAGTGTGTTCTTGCCCAGAATACTTTTTAAATATTTTTCTTTTGTGATTTAGAGATGCAGTTTGCTATTTACAGCCTGTCACAAAAGACTCGTCTTCATTTTTTGCCATTTTCCTCCAAAGCCCAGTCCTTATTAAATACTAATACCTCATTTAGCCTCTAATTCAGTAATACTAAAAACTTTCAATTAGCTTTCCAGCTTTTTAATCAACAAAAAGCACTTGAAAGATCCCAAAATAGCAGTACCATGTTGTAATGATACCATCTTGTATCCTTTCCACTGGGACATAGTCAAGTGCTGTAGTCACGTGACAACATAAATATAACAATGCAATATTAGCAAGTAAAGCCTCAATTATTTTGTGATCCCCTGTGAATCAGTTTGACCTCTTCTCTCATCCCACACATGGCAGAAAGCTATGTTCCCTCCTCACTTTCTGGAATCACAGTCAGGAACAGAATATACCATTGGTTTGCTCTCATAATCCACTATCCACCTGCTCATCCCAGAATCAGGTACAGCTAAGAGAATTCAAACACCTGTAAATTAAATATGTGGGGCAAATAATTTCAGCAGCACCAGAAGTTGAATTCCACAATTGCATCCTTCAGGGGGAGATATAAATAAACTTCCCTCAAGCTCTCTTATGCTGTAACTGAGACTTAGGCCCCAGACACGTTTCACTTAAGACGTGATTAACTAGTTAAGATGCAATTAATCTGGCCATATGATCAATCAGTTAATGGCATGATAAAACAAGGAATGAACCACAAAGTTATTACACAAACTATGAGTTATTACTTTGTGGCTGGTTCCTATCACACCTTTAATTGAATATGTGGGAGGAGCAAGTAAGTAGAAAGCTTGATTTCAGGTTTTGGCGCTTAGCAGAGCTTCATGGGTATGCTAGACTGTCTTTATGAGATTTTTAATATGAATGATCAGCAGGTTTGGGATAAATGGCAGGCCTATGGGCAGCTCTAGAAAGCAGTAAGATATATTCCAAAGGGCTAACAGTAGCAGTAAACATGGGGCAGATGCTATGTGGTGGGAGACGGACAAGAGCAGAAGAGGAATGAAACAGACATTGGGAGGGTGAAAAAGAGCTGAGGGAAAGAGACAGGTTCTCAGACTGAATTCATGGGGACTGAGAACTGTTGCATTAACATACTATTGTATTAACAATACCATTAACGTGCCAGTCTACAAGGGCTTTGGCTCCAATTGTACTGCCTTTTTCTTGTTCATGAATCTGTTCTCTAAGTTGTTTAGAAGCCTAAACCATTAAAGCCTTCAACTTAAGTCACCTGCTTTGATTATTTGCCCCAGTCTTCATTGACTCTCTGTGGAAAGAGTACACCAGATGTCTATTCCCGGATTAAGGACAACAAGAAGTCCTTTTTTAAATACATAGGGAGTAGAAAGAAGGCCCCAGGAAATGTGGGGCCCTTGCAGGACAAGACGGGGAATCTGGTTGTCACGCCAGACGACAAAGCCAACATATTTAATAACTTCTTTGCCTCTGTCTTCCTCAGTAA